TAGCTACCTCTCTTAATGTTAAGGTATATCGTTTAATTCAGGAAACTCGGCCATTTCCACTAAATTCAATTCATTATCCCTTAAACCGTCCGTTTAAGCAGGCAAATTTGCCCGCTTAAATTTTTGGAAAAATTTGAGCACGGGGACAATTTTTTTATACTAAAGCTTGGCTTAGATTGGCTGGAGCAACTCCTGAAAAGTCAGACTACATGATAACAATAAAGCCACACACTGGCGTATGTCATACGACCCAAACAAATGGCTTAATTTCAAGTTAGGTGAAATTTGGCATACTCCAGCCACGGGGTATTCTGAATGCCAAACTTCTCAAATACGCTCAATCAATTCATTTTAACTACTACGTATCTGGACGAAAGAAATGTACTATATAACATGGGTACATATTCATAAAAGATTTTTCCGTTATTAAGATTAGTACGCCGAATAATTTACGAAGATTGACTTTAGTATGTTACACAAAAATTAGCATGCCTTGTTTATTTATTATCATTCTTTGTTGTGGAAATGAATAAAACAGTTACGATTGATATTACAGCAAAGAGGTACATTACATGCTACGCACCAAAGTTGACTTTGGTGCGGCGTTTTACGATTCATAATCAAATTATTTGTGTTTGCTAACCAAGTGCACCATTGACATGCTTCTCGTTGCTTTCTCCATTCTACGAAATGATTACCAGGTGTAAATCGTTGATTTGAAAGCTCAAAATTTTTCGTTACCCTCGGTCGTTTAGTTGATTTTCTTGTTTCTTTTCTTAGTTCTCTTTTAGAGCCGCTCCTCAGTTGAATCTCGCTCGTATCATTTGCAAGATCGATGAGATCCCAAACAAGTTCATGGCGAAATTCTTTTTGCTCTTTTGCTGATTCTAATGTTCGAGCAATTCGATACGTGTTGATGATTGCAGTGTCCAAAAGCCAGAAAAAAAGAGGCATCCAATTTCTTCGTACTGTTTGTTGCGTATTGTAATATGACCGCAATTGGTCAGCGATATCTACACCATTCATGCAGTGGTTGTAATCGTCGATTACCTTCGGGATTAATAATTTCTTTTTTGATTCAGAACCAAACACTGCACGCACCTTTAATTAATAATGAGACATTAAATTAAAATTTAAAAGAATGGAAATAGATTCATGGGAAGTACATACTTTTGCTGCATTGGTGCTCGTTTCACGCGGACGTCGTCTTTCTCGTTCTACCTCCCATTCTTCACCGATGAGACCATGAATCGTTGACAACATCGTTACGGGTCCATTATCTTGCCAAAAAATAGCAAGCACTCCATTTATTGTAACACCGGAACGAACATCCCAATCAAGTTTGGCATTTCTATCCGTCTTTAACTCTTTCGGAAAACCGGAAGCTGTTTTTCGGACTGTTCCACAAGCGCCGATGCCGATTTGCCGAAGATATTGAAAAAGAGGAACATTAGGAAAGTAGTTATCCATGTAGACGTTGTAGGAGAGTTGTTGATACGGAAGTTGTGTAACAAGGTGATGAACGAGACATCCGATTTGATTAAGGTTATTTACTCTCGTTACATTGCTTGGTGAGACACGTGATGTAGGCAAGAAAGTATATGTGTATCCAGATTCGCAAAGAGATAAGATCTTAAAACCTTCGTGGGTTGGTTTATTCTTTATTCGAATGGTATGAACGCTTCGTCCAGAAAATCGTATCATCATTTCATCTATAGAAACGTTTGAACCTGGTGTGTAAAGCTGTTTTGAAACGTCCCGAATCTTTGACAGCAGCGGTTCCAGTTTGTCAAAATAATTTTCAATCGTAGCCACAGGAGGAGAGATATGTAAATACCTTTTGATTTGTTCATAACGTTTTAATGACATATGCTTTGCAATATGATGGATGGGGTATTTTGGATCCTTGTTCCAATATTGATCAAGGGAAGGTAATTTAAATAGTCCTTGATATATAACCAAAGCGATCCAAACAATAAGCTCTTTACGATCTAGTTTTTTCCATTGTCTGCTGGTAGTACTAGTGTCTTTTGTTAAGGCGTATAAATTTGTATTGACAACTATTGTGTCTAACACAGAGTTTGTGAAAAAGAGAAGAAAAAGATTGATGGGTTTGGAAAAATTGGCTTCGTAATTGGGTGGTAGATTAATAAATGCTCGATGGAGTGGCCGCGGATGAACAAAGTGATCAAAATTAGGAGGAGGTGGTAATTGTACAACTTTTGCTAGTCTGCGTCTGCCTTTATGAACACTCCTGGTGTCCTCTTCTTCATCCTCTGCAATGTCTGATTCTAGATCGTTTATGAGATGACGAGACGTTAACAGAGGTACATATTCTTCGTCCTTATCAGTATATTGTTCTGGAGTAAGAGGAAACAAATTGGAAGTTGGACTTGAAGGTAATGTATTTTGTCTGACTGCAGAGGACATACCTTTCCATGGTATATTGTGGGAGGGACTTCTTACTATTATATAGGGGACATAGAGAATGTGCCAACAGTTTTTTTTTTTTTTGTTTTTTTTTTTTGTGGTATAAAACTTAGATTATCGCCTGAGGAGGTAATCAGCATGGTGCTACATTTTCATTTTGGCTTAGAAAAAAGGGGGGGTTTGATTAGGCAAATCACGAGCAATTACACAAAAACTGGTCAAAATTAATTTAAGCGGGCAAATTTGCCTGCTAGACGGTTTAAGGGATAACAAGACATTACTATGGTGCAACAATTATTAGCAAAAAATGATAATGATTTCGATTAGACATATAAATAGATTG